GTAAACAACTACGTTGTTGACGGTGCGTCGATACCCTATTCCCTTCTTTGTCTATTCTCTCTCGCACTCGTTGATTTTCGCAAACCAATGTGTGATGAAGGTTTAGAGCGTTTTATGAATGGATCGTTGTATCTCCCGAATTTAAATATCTTTGGGTGTTATCATTTCCAATGTCTCTGATGGTTGCAGCGATTGCGAAATCTGTGAGTTTTTTAATTACCTAACCATGCACGAAAACTGAAGACGTTCAACTATTAACTTGAATAGTTTAATAAACAAACCTTATTTTAAATGTACCTAATGTTCAAATTGTTTGGTCTAGATGCATTTTTATTTATAGCTTTATCTATTTATTTTCCAGATAAATTGGACGCTTTGCTTTACTCTAAGCGTTGAAATGCAACATGGAAAAGGTTTTAAAATAAATTTGACTTTAAACAGAATATTAATGTGTGATATTTGTATTTCAAGTAACAATAACAATTTGCCAATTTTGCCGCAACCCAAATAAAATTAGCAAAACTAGGAATCTCCTTATCGGTTGCTTTTAATAATTAATAGTATATTATTATCTATTTATTTACCCATATTGTGCAATGTTTATGTCAAAATTGTTTAAAAATATTGAATACATTGTATTATATTGTACAACTTTCGTTTAACTGAAATCAGTTTTGTAAGAAATATATGTCTATTAGTATTATTATTATTTTATTCAGTTTTTATTCAGAAATCAGTTTTGTAAGAAATATATTATTATTAGTATTTGGAAGCCTTTTTGAATAGGTTATGAAAAAATGTCTGCGAAAATGCATCATTTTGAGTTTTTCAACTTTAAAATAGCTGAAATTAGGGCTACTTTCGTTTAGCTGAAATCAGTTATACAGGGTGTTCCAAAAACATGTGCCATCTCTCGTGGGGAGTTCCAAAGCACCTTTTTACGTAGAATTTAATGGTTTAAGTATAATTTTTTTAAAATTAATAATTTAAGAGTTATCAACAGAAAAATTGATTTTTTATTTGGGACACCCTCTATATTTTTAATTAACTGTAAAGAATTTAAAATTACCTTTCCAAAAATATAGCACACTTGATATTTTGTTATAATCGAAATACAGAATTTTAAAAGTTCGCCACTTTTAACTAGTAGGCTTTGGACCCCTTATTGATGATATGCCCTTAATGGAACTCGAAAACACATTTTCCAGCAAGACGACGCACCACCTCTGAACGCTGAAATTATCAGCAAATTTTTGCAGCCAATTTCAAGAATAATTGAATAGATAACCAAGATACCAGCCGTTGGCCGTCGAGACCGCCTGACTTAGTGCCTATGGATCTAATCCTATGGATACATTTGCGGAAGAATAAAGGTTCCTTATTCCGTATAATCTAGACAAGAATTAGAAATACTTAGCAGTTATGAGAGGGTATCTTTCACCCCCACTGAGTTAATGAATTCCGCGAGAAATGTTCAAAAACTGCCCCGTCTGTCCATAACAGAAGACGGTCGATATGTCGAACACCTGTAGCAAAATCTCATGTCTTGGTTTGCTATTTATTTTTATTGTTATTAGATATAGTTTAAATATGTTGATGTTGGTTAAATATATTTCAAATGGTTATGAAATTCTGCATTTCTCATAACAAGAACATGGACCAAAAACCAACCAAACCAAACCAAACCAAACCGCGAATATCTGCGAAACCGTTAAAAATTTTGAAATACTCTAAATACAAAAAATGTTCATTTTTAATTCTCCATCTATTGAAAAAATAATATACAGAGAATTCTATTTAAAAAAAAGAAGAAAAATTATTTTGTATTTCAGAAAGTTTGGCGTAAAATTTTGAACATCCTGTATGATATACGATTACCATATTTATAGCAAAATAAGTACAGACCATCTAAAGTAAATATCTAATATAGGTATATTTGATTTCAGGAGAGTTCTTGTATTTTTAATATTTTTTTTAAGAAAGGCTGAAAAATATATATTTTTTATTTATTTATTAATATCTCTGAAACTATCTAAATATATTTAATCATATCTTAGGATTATGTAAAGTGATCTGAAAAGAAGCCAAAAATGCAATAATATACAGAGTGTTCCATTCAAAAAAATCGATCCCGATCCAGTCACACTTTTTTGATCCATCCTATAGAAGTTAAAATATTTTCCTGGAATACATCCTAGAACATACTTTAGATTTGCACTTTGTTAGCACCTACCCTATATAATTCATAAAATTCGCTTATCGCGCCAACAGTAGTCAAGATCTGCGCAGGTCCAAGGATGAATGCTGTCTTGAGGCGTCAAGGTCAAGACTTCACTTCGTCGCGCGCCCTGCTTAATAACGGATCTCTATTTTTTAATAAATTAGTTTATTAATAATGTATATCTATAAAGAGACCACACTGTCTCTAATATCAGAAGTGGGGGTGTACCCGTTTACCCCAGAAAAAGTGCCCTTTGATTGGTTTGTGGTTTGTTGTGCTATATTTTGGTGATAAAATTAGCTTTTATGGTGAAAGAATGCTATTATTTTCAAATTGTTTTATTGGGGGATAGGTCAAGTGTAAGAAAATGTAGGTATTTAGATTATCGGTAAGTTTGAAATGAGATTTTATAGGAAAGATTAAAAGAAGTGCCGATTTATACGAAGGGCGAAGTCTTTTTGATAATTAACGTTAGGGATGTACGAACTGAATCGATTTTAATCAAAGATCGATCTTTTTGCAAAGAAAAATCGATTAAAATCGATCGATTTTTGTCAAATGGTCTTTTGATATAATCGACTTTTTTATTTCAAAATCGAAGATCGATTTTATACAGTTTTACATGTTTATTTTTGTTAGAATAAGAAACACTTTAGTTTTGCTTGAATAATTGTTTACTAGTAAAACGGCATCTAGTAATGAATAGAATTAAGTGTAAGTTCGCTATGTTTGTTTATGATTTATGTCAGGTATAAGATTATTGTCGGTGATTCCCATATTTTTATATTTTGGCCTTTTTATTTTATATCGTATAATTCGTATATTTATAATAATTTTAGCCTCTGAATCGGTTTAAATTTCACATGTGTTAATAAACGGTTTTAGGATTTTTATATATCTAATATTTTTTTATATTATGATATTATCGTATTTTTATTACACTCGACAGTAGATACACTAGTAAATTCAGAGTCGAATGTCGATATTTGGTAGGATCGATCTTTTGTTGCTGATTTTTCTGGATTGATCTTGTGTCCGATGTGGAATCGATTAAAAATGTTGATTTATTTTATTTCTGGGACATTCCTAATTTACGCGCCTTTGCTTATTCAAAATATTTTATATTTCGATTACTCCTAATGTAAACAAACTGATGATAAAAAAGGTTTCTGAACCGACAGACACGATATCTACAGGGTGCGAGGTACGATGTTGCTGGTTTTCAACCAGACACTACTTGTTTTTGTGATTTGTAATAATTTAGGTATTATTAATAATATAAATGGTAAAATTAATTTAATAATTAATATTGCAATCAATTTTGTTATGTTGAAGAATTTATATTTAAAGATTAATGGTAACCTATTTATAATACATTATTATAATTATTAATTTTCTTTGTTGAAACTTTTGGATAGTGGTGATGTAATCGAAATATCAATTGCAATAAATAGGTTCGGCAAAGGAACAAAGAAAAATATTTTAAGTTGATAGTTATTTTATGTCTACTTTGGTCTCAGCTTTGGTTGTTTATTGAATTTGTAGATTTGGTAAAAATTTCGGAAAATGTTATTTTTACATTATACACGATCAATTATTTTAGATAAGCATATTTCTTCAAATAAAATGAGTTCTGTACATAATGAGATACTGTGATGTCATTTAAAAATTAGTTAAGAAAAGAAAAAATTAAAAAAAAATGAAACTGGATTTTGTAACTTAATGTGCAGTGAACGGTTAAATGTTCAGCAACTACTTTAAAACAAATGGATAAATAAACAAGGGAATTAAATAAAAATATAGTTTTTATACTCGTTAGGTATAATATATTATTTGTCCGAAATAAATTCAGTGTGAATCCTGATTATCCTGTAAAATAAAGGTGTTTATGCTTTGATAAAAATATAATGGTCTAGTATATGATATTGTTAGAACCATGTTACCAGAATTATTTTATTAATTTACATTTTTTTCATTCGACTTATTTTGGTGCACCCTGTATAATGAAAATCATTTTGGTGGCAAATCCAGGGCGTTCAGTCTGAGCCTTATCGGTTTGTTAATGTAAACAAGCCTTTTGCCACCTAGCATTTTCTTTTCGTCTCGAGAATTGTTTTGTTTTTCCGACTGTAAGCTGAGACATTCGGTATTTGGGAGTTTGTAATGGTTGTGTAAGACCGATGAAATTGTACCACAGATAGTACATTGAGTCGTGCATCGAGGAATGTATTTTGTACGCGGGTGCTTGTGTTAAAGCTGTGTAGGGGTGACATTTTTTGTACCCATTGGTAAGAGCAGCGAAGGGACATACATTTTTTTGCTTTTATCGACAATGCGGTGAAGGAGTTTTCGGGAGCATCTGGTTTCTCTCAATTACTCCAAATGTCATATAATACATTATCAAAAATTTTCGATTTCATGTGCACCAACACTAACATAATCATAATCAAGGCATTGTAGATGAAATTCAGATTGCTGCAAGAGGCGAAAATTGGGTTTAAAATTGAACTTTTGTCAAGATTTAGCCAGACTCCACGCATTAGATTGAAGTTACTGTTTTGTTGAGTGGTGAGTAACGTGTAGGGTGAAAAAACATAGTTTGGTGTCTACTTTAACATTTTTAGCCTGATTAATAGGTATGTTATTGTTGTTAACCTGTTGTAATATTTACAAGCTAAGGTTAATTTAAAATGGTGTACACTGGTGTGGCAAATCGAACGTTAAAATAAAAATGAAGGTGTTTTTCAGCACAAGTGTTTTTTTTAAGTTCTTTTCCTGTAATTACTTTTGTAGAGTTATATAGATTTGTATACTTACATAGATCAGGACGCAAGTGTACATTTTGTCAGAATGGGCGAGCGAGTTGGATAAAATACAACTTGTCATAAACTCCAATGTTGACACAACTACCCAAAGATCACCCATGCAATTGTTGTTCGAAGGTATGGTGTCCGGAAGACTGATCCGATTTGCTTGACATAGAGAGCGACTGCTAGGATGAGATGGCGTGTTAGCGTCCATTTTATCACCTGCCTGCAGCTCTTATTTAATGGGTGAGCCTTTTAATAAAGTTTTGCTAACATTTGTTTTTTTTATTTTGTTTTATTTGGAAATGTCGCAGGCAGCGGGCGGACATTGTCCATTGATTGTTTTGTTTTGTTTGGAAATGTCGCAGGCAGCGGCCGGACATTGTCCATTGATTGTTTTGTTTTATTTGGAAATGTCGCAGGTAGCGGCCGGACATTGTCCATTGATTGTTTTGTTTTGTTTGGAAATGTCGCAGGCAGCGGCACGACATTGTCCATTGATTGTTTTGTTTTGTTTGGAAATGTCGCAGGCAGCGGCCGGACATTGTCCATTGATTGTTTTGTTTTGTTTGGAAATGTCGCAGGCAGCGGCCGGACATTGTCCATTGATTGTTTTGTTTTATTTGGAAATGTCGCAGGCAGCGGCACGGACATTGTCCATTGATTGTTTTGTTTTGTTTGGAAATGTCGCAGGCAGCGGCACGACATTGTCCATTGATTGTTTTGTTTTGTTTGGAAATGTCGCAGGCAGCGGCCGGACATTGTCCATTGATTGTTTTGTTTTGTTTGGAAATGTCGCAGGCAGCGGCCGGACATTGTCCATTGATTGTTTTGTTTTGTTTGGAAATGTCGCAGGCAGCGGCCGGACATTGTCCATTGATTGTTTTGTTTTGTTTGGAAATGTCGCAGGCAGCGGCCGGACATTGTCCATTGTTTGTTTTGTTTTGTTGGAAATGTCGCAGGCAGCGGCCGGACATTGTCCATTGTTTGTTATTCTATTTTACAGAGTCTTCCATAGAGTATGGAGTATGAAGCTATCAATGAAAAGCTTCGAGATGTGGCATCGCATATGTGGATTTTATATTTGGATCATATAACCTTCGCATTAACCACTGTTTGTATGCTTATAATGTTAATATGTATATATTAAATATTATTATTGTATAAGTGTATTGACTTATCAATTACCTGAACAATCAATCATTTGAATTTGTGTTGAGCCGAGCACGTCTCAAATGCAGAATGGCCGTGTTAGCACCTACCCTATATAATTCATAAAATTCGCTTATCGCGCCAACAGTAGTCAAGATCTGCGCAGGTCCAAGGATGAATGCTGTCTTGAGGCGTCAAGACTTCACTTCGTCGCGCTCCCTGCTTAATAACGGATCTCTATTTTTTAATAAATTAGTTTATTAATAATGTATATCTATAAAGAGACCACACTGTCTCTAATACACTTAAACAATATTCTTAAGTTTTTTATTCTAGGAGCTACAGATGCCCGACGCACTATTGCCGGACCCTGTAAGAGCCTCTTGAAAACACATTTAATAATATTTCTATTTACCTCAAAACTAATAATATTTATAGGGCAATTAAAATAATTAACGTCTGTATCTTACAGAAAAAAAAAATAATTGCAACCCTCACACTTATTATTTATATACCTATGTTGTGCTAGATACATCATTAAAACCCGCACCAACTGACTAAATGTAAACATCGTTTAAATTCATAATAATTAATGTATATACTTTACAGAAAGCAGTTGATGCATGGCCTACAAATTATTATATAGGATGGTTCACAAAACACAAACTGTATTTAAATATTTGGACAGTTACCCACTGCAGTAAGATTTTTCCAGACATTTTATCTTTTATATAGAATTGTTATGGGACTCGCAGAGTTAAAAAATAAAATATCGAAAGCCACATACCTTGATACCACAGTGTTTTTACTGATTATTAATTTTGATATTTAAATTATATGACTTAATGGAGACTGAGTGTATATTAATTTTAAATATTTTTTTTCTCAAAAGCGGTTTACTTGAGCTATATAGAGTGTTTTATATTAGACTGATTAAACTTCATCAATTTTTTCAAGTAATTCATATCTGTAAGAAAAATTACTCGGGAAAATAGAAGTACCTATTCATTTAAACTACGAAAGTTTACTGTCAACTGCTGCCTTCAAGTAGGCGCCATTTTGAAAATATTTTAATACAAAAATTTCATTCTAAAACAATAAAACATTGAATGCTAAAAAATAACTACAAAATGATTTTAGTGATCTAAAGGTTTCTTCAATATGGAGGACAGCGATACCCCAAAGCAATCAAAATTAGTACTTTTTTAATTAAGAATAAGATGGGGTAGAAATAGAGACTACTAAGAACTTACAACTGAGAAAAATCAAAGATTTTCCTTGATTTAATTAAGAACAATCTTCGGATTGTTAGTGGGTTTTTAACAGGACACTGTCTCCTCAATGAACACCTCAGAAGATTGAAGTTAAGAAACAATGGCGAAAGCAGATTTTGTGGGGAAAATGGGAAACACCAAAACACCTCATCACTGAGAGTGCCGAGACCGACAACCATTCCTGGTATAAACTTTAGTACAACTGATATCGGAGAAGGAAAAATAACCTCTGTAAAACCGTCTCAGATACTGGCTTTTATCAAAACCATCAGACAATATGACGAGTTATGTAAAACTTGGAAAATAAGTTGGTTATAAAATGGTTTTATAATTTGGAAACTCTCTATTTATTTATCTAGTAATGCTAAAACACTCTTTTTGAAAGTCGATTAGAGAAAATAGTATGATTCATTGGCAAGTAATGTAAATATTTGCGATTTGGTAAAATTGTGATGTAAGAGGAGGCTTAGCTTGCCGGAGGCGAATCAGTAGTTGATAGGCCGGCCGGCTGTTGTGTTGTGTTTTGTCATAGAGCTGATATTTGGGGGTTGAAAGTCTTTTGACTATAAACGTTGCAAGTACTGTAAGGCAACGGGTCGTTTGACCAGAAGAAAACCTCTTGTGACGTTTTGCGTTCGAGGTTGGTCTTGAGAGTTTGAGGTCTCCCTTGTCTTCTCGATTGACACGATGCGGCGTTGGGGTAGTGAGATCAGGCCTGAGTGAGGTACCCCAATTAGCCTATTCGATTGGGATGCGAATCTGTTTAGCGGCAGATTTGCGTCCGGAGGAAGCCCCTATACTATTTCAAGTGACACTAGCTAGTTGTTGAAGATGATTAACCAATATATAACCGAATGATATTTGAATTAGATGGAAAATATGGAATGGGATATATTGAATAGAATATATCAGTGGCTAAGGGGCGGGGTACCTAATTTTATCAAGATCAGTAAATGTTTGTTTTGTTATTTTCATGTACAATGAGAGAGTGCTTGCCAATGACTAACTAAATGGATATTTGAGGTGAATTTGCATTGTGAGACCCGGTTGAGTAAGCCCCAAAAATAGCGATTTTACAGTTATTACTCTAAAAAGGGGGGACACAGTAGATCTGTAAGGTAGCGGTGATTAACCCCCCTCCTATACATTCTACATTCTACAAATATCATACATTGATGAAATAAATTACAAAGAAAAATAAATTTTAATTTTTCTTATAAATTCAAAGTACCATATCACTCTAGACAGTTAAAAAAATCAAAATATTATAAATATGGACAGCGATGCGGGCGGGTGTCCGCTACAGTAAAACATGCCTAGTATTTGTATTCACTGCCAAAAAATATTTGTTTACGTTATTTAATTACCATTATTAAATGAGAAAAGTTCTCGTCATTACTATACCGTGCGTTCGAATGGAAACGACGTCACAGTAAGCGTCGAAAATATCTGTGATTCTGATATACAGGGTGTCCCAGGCTGAGCATGCATTAGAAGTTTCTAGAGGACTACAATATCTAGGTCGGAGATTTTTTACACATCATTGTTTCACATCGAGATCGATTAAAAATATTTTCAATATGGCGACATTTCCGGAAATACCGGAAGTTGAAAACGACTTTCTTATTTTAAATGGGTGCCCCCATTTTTTATTACATACCTACTTAAATTCTCTGTAAAATTTTATGAATTTTGATATTAAACACACTATACCTAACATTAACCGTTTTTGAGAAAAAAATATTTAAAATTTTTGGACGAAAAAAATTGTCTCTCAATAATATCCGTATACCCTAAACGTCAAAAATAGTGATATCTATTTCAAAAATTGTTCGAATGTCATATAATAATGACCGCAGCTGTAATGGAATTGGTCAAAGAATGCCTAGAGAAGCTCAACAAATTAGGCAAAGAAAATAAAGTCCTCCTACTCTGGGTGCCTGCTCACCAAGGTATAGAAGGCAATGAAAAAGCAAATGATCTAGCTAGTAAAGGAGCGACCGTTCCACTAACTGGACCAGAACCGTTCTGTTTTCCAAGCCGGAACCATACATACATACATACATAGGGGTGCAAGGGGTATTGAAGCCGGAACCAACTGAAAGCGAAACTGAAGAATTTGGAAGACTCCATCCGTAATCTGGAATGGGTGTCCTCCAGTGGTCTAAGACACTCGAAAAAGTTCCTCAGAACTTACGACCGAGAAAAATCAAATATTTTCCTTGATTTAAGTAAAAACGATCTTTGATTATCACGGGATTTCTAACAGGACACAGTCTCCTCAACAAACACCTCAGTAGGCTGAAGCTGAGAAACAACGGCGAATGCCGATTCTGTGGGGAAAATGGGGATACACCAGACCACATTATCACCGAGTGCGTCGAGGCGACGACCGTTCGTGCCATGATCTTTGGTACGGCTGATGCCGAGGATGGAGAACTGGCCTCTGTGGAGCCGTCTCAGATACTGATTTTTGTTAAATCCCTGAGACTGTATGATGAGTTATAACTCGTTATAACTCAAGAAAGGGGAACATACAATAGATCTGTAAGGTTGCGGTGAACTATCCTCCTAAACATTCTACAGTTCTAGGCATATAGCGTTTAACATCCATATTCATAGAATTTTACAGAGAATTTAAGTATGTAATAAAAAATGGGGGCACCCATTTAAAATAAGATAGTTGTTGTCAACGTCCGGTATTTCCGGAAATGTCGACACATTGAAAATATTTTTAATCGATAGATCTCGTTGTAAAACAATGATTTGCAAAAAATCTCCGATCTAGATATTGTGATGCTCTAAAAATTCAAGTACTTG